AGATAGATAGATAGATAGATAGATAGATAGATAGATAGATAGATAGACGGGTGGGGAGGGAGGGATGATAGATAGATGGATGGATGGATAGATGATGGACGGATAGATGATAGATATAGATAGATATATACATAGATATATGCACACACACATATATATATATACAAAATAAAATATCATATATAAATAATAAATTGATAAATAAATAAATGATAAATAAGCTAACCTGGAATACAACTCTTGATTTCTCAAGCAGGTACGTCCTCATGTTGGCACCAATGATACGGTATCTTTTATCAAAGCCAATCTGAATGTATTTCCCAAAACGGCTGCTGTTGTCATTCCGGGTTGTTTTTGCATTACCAATTGCCTTTATGAAATTAATAAAAGGTTTAAAATATAATATATTTTTTCCATCAATATTCATTCATCTCACAGATGCACTTCATTGATTAATTACATATAACTAAAAAAAAAAACATTAAGAGAAAGACCGAGAGATTGAAAGATGGAGAGAGCACCATTGCTTGAAGATTAAGTGCTACACTCTTTAACAAGATCATAAAATATCTATTAGATTTATCTCCTCTACCTGATTGACTTTACAAACTTGTTTTAATGATTGACTTTACAAACTTGTTTTAGAGGGTAAACAATGAAGCCGGCAGCAAAGTAATTATGATAAGATTTTGTTATCATACTTAATTAACACTCTAGATTCTCTAGATCATTATTTCCAAAACTTGGCTTTTTAAGATGGGTTAGGGTTAGGGTTAGGCCGTGGTGTGAATCCAGCCACTGTTGTTGGCAGAGATCATGGTTTGCGGTGTATTATCCTATATGGATCCAAGCAACTGTGTTTTATTCAAACAATCCTGATTAACCATAATTAGTCTATAGTATTTACTTTCTATGAGAGATCAATGGAAGCTTGCACTGATTGTTTTAGTTCTGGATATAGCTTTACTGATTAATTATAAAATATTCTTTTACTACATGCAAAGTTGGGACAAAGCCACATATTTGTGTCTTAATAGCTGAGAATTTGAGCTAAACTGATTACAGTAAAGCAATTGAAATGAACTGTGCTTCCAAAGGTATTAGCGAAACTGTGCTTAGCAACCATGCCTGTTAAGTGGAAAACAGCTTACATAAGAACAGAACCTATTATACTAGCCAAAACTAAAATTAATAACAACAACAAACTGGCATAAAAAATAGTGTCTTATCAAGAATTTACAACTCTGGATCTTAAGTTAAGCTTTAATGAAGGCATGGATTCTGGTTTTAAAAGTTGATTAAAAGCAAAAATAACAATAATACATTCATGCCAATAATCCTCTGCTCATATTTCTATCTTATTGGAGTTTTTGAAATAGGAACAGATTTTTTAATGCAGTGTCCACACGCATAGAACACAGACAGGATGGGGTGGTAATAAAATTCCTTTGAAAGACTATTAGAAAAGGGGGAGCAAAGCTATTAAATTCTCAAAATATAAATATGTCAGAATGTGAGCCAAAGCTCACATTTTAGGAAAAAAGTATTACGTTTAAGGAGTGCTATATATAGGTAGTCCTCAACTTACGACTACAATTGAGCCCAACATTTCTGTTGCTAAGTGAGAGATCTGTTAAGTGAGTTTTCCCCATTTTATGTCCTTTCTTGCCACAGTTATTAAGTGAATCACTGAAGTTGTTAAGTTAGTAACAGAGTTTGGTTTTTTTTGGTGGGGGGGGAAGACTCAGACTACTTGATATGGAATAAATTCTACGACTGGTTAAAGACAAAGGGGTAGAAGTTAGAGAAAGAAAACAATGAATGTTTTTATTAAAAACAGAGATGGTGTATAACTACAATATTATATGATATTATAAGTATCCTTATTAGAAAAAGGGACAATATTTTTTATAGTACTGGCTATGGTTCTTATTCACTGTAAAATAACAGACTCGGACAAAACGCTGTATTCAAAAATGTTTATGTATATAAAGAAATTAAAATAGTAAAAAAAAGTTAGTAACACAGTTATTAAGTGAATCTGACTTTCCCATTGAACTTTGCTTGTCAGAAGGTTGCAAAAGGTGATCACGTGACCCCGGGACACTGCAATTGTCATAAATATGAGCCAGTTGCCAAGCATCCAAATTGTCATGCCCCTGTTGGAATCTGACTCAGAGGAAGAAGCCGAATAGCTGACAGGGAGTGGGAGTGTGGCTCTGTTGGCTGTGGAAGAAACTGGGGAAGGGCAAAGTCCGTCTGGGCAGAGCAGGGAAGAGGTAGAACAAGGGAGAGGGAATTCAGAGGAAGACCCAGTCCACTTCCTCTTCATCCTAGGAGATGGGAGGAACAGAGAAGGGAGCAATGTGAGTTGCGTGGCTTACGAAGGAGGAAAGGGCTCTGATTCCCTTCATTAGCTGCAGCTGGGAGCAGTGTATAAAAGAGGAAGCTGTGCACAGCAAGCTGTTGGGAGAAACGTGAATTATCTTGTATCGTCGAAGCTTATTTGTGTTCCTGGCGTCTTCCCAACTGTGTGAGTTTTGCCATGCTTTCAAGTCTGAACTTCCTTCTCCTGCCTTGTCCAGCTAATTACTTCAGCATGGTTTGTTTGGATTTTTAGTTACAGTTTGTATGTACCTGGTTTTGGACTGAATTTTCTACAGTTGAAGGCTGTTCCTGGGAGAGTTTTTCTCCAGCCGAAGGTAACTTAGACATTGGGGGCAAAGCTGGAGATAATAAAAGGACTCTTATTGCTTGTTTGACTGTGTTGCTTTGTGCCACGCCCCAGGTCATCACACAAATTTTGATCCTGAGACCATGGGGATGCTGTATCAGTGGTGCGAAAAATTGTCATAAGTCACTTTTTACAGCGGTGTTGTAACTTTGAACCATCACTAAATGAACCATTGTAAGCCGAGGATTACCATTACCTCATTATCTCCTTTTTGCCTTGGAATTGAAAGGCCCCAAATGTATATAAAAGGACAGGCACTACTCAAATGCTGACCTTCCAAATTTTCTAAGACTTTCACGCTCATCCCCTTTGAATAGCAGGATGGGGAGTGTTTTGGCAGCTTTTCCAAAGAGAGAAAAAATACGTTTTCTTTCTGAGAAAGCTTTCTGATGTGCCTCTTGGTACTTCAGCTGCAGCTTACGCAGCTACAATTAAGGACTGGCCTGCAGAGTTCATTATGATCGCCCAAAGGTTTTAATTCCCACCTCAAAATCAAGCCCTGGTACAGAAATAAAATGAAATGATGATGATGATACTCATCATTGAGTATTAGTGTCGTGTTGGCCTTGTTGGCTCACATCACCGTTTAATTTTAATTGATTGGCTGCACTGATGCATATGATGAGGTGCCTTTGCACATCTGTGGCATGTGTTTTAGAAATTGCATGAGTCAGCACAGCCAAATAACAGGAAGAGCAAGCAACATAAAAACTGGCCCCGAGACAGAAAACATTGGCAAAGAGGGATGAAAACTCTCACAAACCTACTACCGTGTTTCTCACAAAATAAGGCCGGGCCTTATTTTTTTTTTTTTTTGAGCCCCGAAAAAACGGCTGTCTTTTCGGGGGTGAATTAACTGAGTCGCTCCCGCTCGGCGCCATCTCCAACAACAGCATCTGAGTCGCTCCCGCTTTTCCCCCATCCCCGTAACAACAGGAAAAAAACATTTTGAGGTACCTGGGAGTGCCACGTGCTGCGTTTTGGTTTAATCCCAAGCGGCTTGGTGGCCGTGAGAAGAGCCGAGCGAGCGTCTCTGCTGCTGCTACCCTTGGTGCTCCAGCCTCGGGCTCTGCAAGTTTGCAAAAGTCCCGCTGCGCAGAAGTTATGGAGGCGGCTCCCCCACCCGAGAAGCGGCTGAAATGCTTCCACGGTTCCCACCGCTGCTGCTGCTGTTATTGGAGACAGCACTGGCGAGAGAGGGACAGCTGCAGCTCGGCCTGGGCACTTGGAATGCAGGAACGGGCTGCGCACCGGGACTTTTGGAAACTTGCAGAGCCCGAGGCTGGAACACCAAGGGTAGCAGCAGCAGAGACGCTCACTCGGCTCTTCTCACACCCACCCAGCCACTTGGGATTAAACCAAAACGCAGCGCGCGGCGCTCCCAGGTACCTCAAAATCTTTTTCCCCCTGTTGTTATGGGGATGGAGGAAAAGCGGGAGCAACTCAGATGCTGTTGTTGGAGACGGCGCTGGCGAGAGAGGCGCCAGCACCAGTGGGAACCCTGGAAGCTACGGAGGCTTGAGAAGCAGCTGAAACGCTGCCGGACATCCACGCCAACGCCGCCCGCCTGCTGACCCGGGTAAGGGAGGGGTAAGAGAGCCCTCCGTGCTCCACCATGGTGTTAGGAGCGGCTTGATGGTGAGGCGTAGCTGCCCGCGGCGCACTCCTAATGGCAAGTTCCCCCCCTGGCCTCCCCCCCCCAAATTCACATGTTTTACACTAGGCCTAAATTTGGGGGGAGGGGCTTAATTTCATTTTATGCCTAGAAAACATGTTGGGTCTTCCTATTGGGGGGTGCATATTGTTGGAGAAACACGATAGGACAGTGATGGTGAATCTTTTCAGCACAGGAAAAAGAAGAAGGGAATGACAGAAGAGGAGATGGCTAGATAGTATCATTAACACAATGAACATGGATTAGGGCAAATTCCAGGAGATAATAGATGACATGCTATAGCCCATGGGGTCACAAAGAAACAGACATCACTTAGTGACTAAACAACATGCCTAAATATTTCCAGAGTGACGCAAATGTTCTCCTCTGCATTCTACAAAAACTATGCAATCTCCCCCACACCAGCATCATCAAAGACCTTACCTCCATGATAGGACTGGAAGCCAGGACCTTCTCTTCAATATTGGATTCGCTGGAGGAGCCTCCCACCGATGCAAAGAACCGCATGGCGTATTTGGCTGAGACTGTTTTGCCCGCCCCGGATTCCCCACTAACGATAATGGACTGGTTCTTCTCATCCCTAAACAAAGAAGGAGAAAGAGGAGGGGAAAGCGAATCAATATTTCTGTCAGCGTTCCAGAAAACTTCCACTCCAACAAATAACTCTGTGATGATCCAGGGTGGGATGCAAAAGCAACAAAGTCACAAAAACAGGGGAAGTCCCTTTAATTCCTTCAACTTGGCTTCAAAGGTCCAATTATCATTGACTGGAGAAAAAACTCCCCCACAAACAGTTGCGAAAAGGAAGAACTTTTGTTCAAACTCACAATACATATAAATTATATAAAAACAACAACAACAACACAAACCACACTGAAGCAATTAATGAGACAAGGCAGGATAAGGGCTTGAAGACTTCCACAGATATCGAAATACACACACTGGGAAGGACGCCAGAACTCAGATAACAACTGAAAGACTAGAAATATTTTCATGCTTTGCTTCCAGCACGGGCCCATGCACAGTTTGTCCTTTTAAACAGTCTTCACAGCTGCAGCCCATGAAGGGGATCAAGGCCCTTTCCTCCCATGTAGACCATGCCATTCATGTTTCTCCCTTATCCACTCTTCCCTGCGTGCCCTAGGATGAAGAGGGGATGGGCCTGGGTCTTCCTCTGAATGCCCAGCCGGTCTGTGCCCTTCCCCAGTTTCCTCCACAACCTCCAGAGCACACTCCCATTCCCTGTCAGCTGTTCCTCCTCTCCCTCAGAGTCAGATTCTAACAGGGGCATGACAAACTCCGAGACGACATTCTCTCAAAAGTTGTTTTAGTGAGATAGTAAACTGGCACATCTGGGGAATCCCAAATCTGAAAGTTCCGGGTTTCTTTGCAGTAAGTAAAAACTACAAATCCACCCCCTGCACCCATCATCGCATCACATGCCCCAATCACCATTTATCCCAACTTGAGACTTCCCCTCACCCAGGTGCAGAAATAACATGACCTTGACTTAGAAGAAGAATGCTATTGTGTCTAATCACATACACTCCAAGAACTTCCCCCCTCCCATTTTCCCAGACTCAAGAATGTGGCAGTGTGGAAGCATCTGGTTTTAATATGGCTTTCAAAGATGACAATTTCTCTCTATTCTTGCCAACTCTGCCATTACTCCTTCATATGGCTTAGTCTTCTTTTTGGGAATGGAATAGCACAATTTGACTTGGTGCAGGTTCGATTCCTCCCCTTCTAAGAACCTCTAGCTTGTTTAAAAATCATCGACTAGAAAGGTAGTTTGGTCTAGTGGTTAAGGCACCTAGTTAGAAAGCAGGAGACCGTGAGTTCTAGTCCCGTCTGAGGCATAAAAGCTGCCTGGGTGTCTTTGGGCTGATCACCATGAGATTGTGAATTCTAGTCCTGCCTTAGCCATGAAAACCAACTGAGTGACTTTGAGCCAATCACTGTTTCTTGGTTCAATTCACCTCACAGGGCTGTTGTGCAGAAAATTGGAAGAAGAAGGTGCGCTGGATATGTTTGATGCCTTGAATTATTTGTAATATAATAAAGGCAGATACATATAAGTAAATAAATAAATTGTTGCTTTAGAACAGGGGTCAGCAACCTTCAACACTCAAAGAGCCATTTGGACCTGTTTCCCCACAGAAAAGAAAACACCAGGAGCCACAGAAAACCCTTCCTGTGCCTCACTATTTCCTGAGCGGCCACAAAACTAGCGTATGTAGTTGAATTAAACGTCCTGTTTTCTTCTGAAACTTTTCTTGGATTTATCCATGGTTGGCCTACTAGGGGTCGAAAAGCTCCTATAAATCGCGTGCCGGCAAGTGTTGCACATTGACGATTGTAACACATATTTTGAGTGACAGGGACCTGGCAGCAGAGGGATGAAAGAGCCATATGAGGCTCCAGAGCTGTGGGTTGCCGATCCCTACTTTAGAACATGGATGTCAAACCTTACAGACCCCTCACATCCCAGACATAAACTGTTTCAACTCCTACCCTCAAAACGACATTATAAAGCACTGCACACCAGAACAACCAGACACAAGGCCATTTTTTCTCCCGAACGCTATCACTCTGCTAATCTCAACACTGCCCAACTATTGTCCCTCAACACTGTCCAACTATTTACAAAGTCTGCACTACTATTATTATTAATCTTATCATCATTCCTTATCACATCCCCTCCTACTTGTGATTGTTTGACTGTAACTTTGTTGCTTATATCCTTACAATTTATATGGACTGTTTCCTAGTATGATTTCATTGCTTATTGTACTCTATAACTATTATTGTTATACCTCATGATTCTTGACTCTTGATGAATGTATCTTTCCTTTTATGTGCACTGAGAGCATTTACACCAAGACAAATTCCTTATGTGTCCAATCACACTTGGCCAATAAAGAATTCTATTCTATTCTATTCTATTCTATTCTATTCTATTCTATTCTATTCTATCCTATCCTATCCTACTCTCCACTCTAATTCTTATTCTTATTCTTATTCTATTCTATTCTATTCTATTCTGGCTTGTCTCAGTCTCACTGAGCGAAGAGGAATTGTCTTAGGCCACATATAAAATATATAATATCGTTAACGTATAGAAATCACATAATAAAAGTTTACAATCTTGTGGGGCCACATTATTGGCTGTCCAGACCGCATGTGGCCTGCAGGCCACGTGTTGGTCATGCTTGCTTTACAGTGTTCTGCAGAGCAACCTTACATTAACATATCATTCTTTCCTTGTAGTGATTATGACTTATCCTAAGACTCCAAGGTCTGGGCTTCCACAAGACCCTTCTAGCCAAATGCCGAATAGTCATACCTTTATAAAGAAGTATGCCATATCTGTCACTCACAGCATTCAAGCTCTTTATTATAGGCTATCCCTTACTTCTACACAGGAGGGATAGAAAGCCAATTATTCTTAATGCTCTGATACGGCAAACAATTTTGCAAGTAGCAATCCCAAGCTTCCACTTCCTTTCTGTTGCAGACATAAAGTCTTCTTCAGCATGGATGCTGCCTAAACAGATTTTCCTCCACCCCAGCTTTCCCTTTGGAAACAAGCAGAGGTGGTATTCAGCAGGTTCTGACCAGTTCTGGAGAACCAGTAGCAGAAATTGTGAGTAGTTCAGAGAACCGGCAGATACCACTTCTGACTGGCCCCACCCCCATTTAGTCTCTGCCTCCCGAGTCCCAGCTGATCGGCTGGGTCTTCTTTTGTTGCCCTGCACAAGAGAACGGAGCTGGAAAGCAGGTTAGTGGGTGGAGAGGGAATGGGGATTTTGCAATATCCTTTGTCAGCTTTGGAATCCCTATTAAAAGCTGCCACACTGATACGGAGGATGGAAAGGGGGGTTGTTGGTATTTGAGTAATTTTTAGTAGACATAAATACGTAAGACAATCAAGGTCATTCTTTATGGCGCAGCAAGAATTGTAGTTGAAGGGTGATTGGTTCACGTGATTGATGATGTGGGAGAAAATGGGTGGGTGTTGATTGAGTATTGTGGGAGGTCTGGGAGGAAACTTTAGTTTCTGAAATCTCACAGGCGTGCCAAGTTTTTTGTTTTAATAAAGCACTTTGAGAATATGCCTGTCTCGGAGTTACTGATTAAACCAGTGGTTCTCTAAGTGGGCGGTACCGTCCCCTGGGGGGCGGTGGGATGCCTCAGGGGGGCGGTAAGAGGCAAGGGGGCCAGCAGGGGGGCTCTAAGAGGTGGCAGGGGGGCGTTCGAGGTGCCGGTCCCGCAGGCTCACTGACTGCCGGCCACGCAGCACATTGACTGTAACCGTGGCCCCGAACGGGGGCCCCACATGCAGAACTCACGCGCAAGCCTGCTGGGGGAGCCGGGGGGGGGGGGGAGGGGTGGGGGGGGGTGGAAAGGGGTCGCCTTAGCTTGCAGGCTGCCCTCTCCGGTGGAAGTGGAGGAGGCATGCCAGAAGGCCTGAAAGCAAAACCCTCCCAAGGTGCGCAGTGGAAGGGGTGGGTGGTCCGGCGTTAGGGCCCCCTTCCCTGGAGGAGAACAAGGGAGCGCGCAGCACCCGCCTGGCCTCCGCCTCTCCAGCCAGCCGGGCTTGCGCGCAGGAAGCAGGTGGGTGCAGCTGTGGCTCTCCAAAGCGCGTCGCTCAGTTCAGTTCGGCTCTACGTGGCCGTCCTGGACCTAGAACCTAGCCGCCCTCTGCAGCCCGGTTCTTCGGACAGAGCCCTGCGCTTGCTTGCTTGCTTAGTTTCCAAGTGATCGTTCCCTCCGCCTCCCCTCGTCTGGGCTGCTTCCGCACGCCTTCCTCCTCCCGGGCGGAGCATAAAGATGGGCAGAACGTTTCACTGAAGTTGGGAGTCTCTGAGCATGTGCAGAGTACCTCCCCTTGCTTGGCCCGATGGAAGTGGGCCTTGGGTTGAAGCAAAGAGAGTGAGGTCAGCTGTATCGCTGCCCCGGGGAGGTTGGCATTGCAAAATTGGATGCCAAAGGGGGCTGGAGAAGGGGCAGAGTGGCAGCTGCAAGGGGTTGGAGAAGGGGCAGAGGGGGCAGCTGCATTAAGGAGCAGGAAGATCTTAGACATGGTTTATTCACTGACTAAGCCGGAATGCTAAACTCTAAACCAGAATGGCTGGGTTGATATATTCAGCTCATGTTTCTCAACCTTGGCAACTTGTGTGGACTTCAACTCCCACTCTGGCTTTGCTCTACTAACTTTCTGAAAGTGCCACTGCTGACGCATTCTTTCTTTCTGTCTGTCCGTCCATCCATCCATCCATACCATCCATACCATACATACATACATCCAAAAGGTCTGCCTGTCTGCCTTTCTGTCTACCTACCTACCTACCCACCTACCTACCGATATACCTACCTACCTACTTATCTACCAATCTACTTACCTACCTATCTATCCATACATTCATCCAAAAAGTCTGCCTGCCTATCTACCTATCTATCTACCTACCCATTTACCTGTCTCTGTCTGTCTGTCTGTCTGTCTGTCTGTCTGTCTGTCTGTCTGTCTGTCTCTCTAGCCATCCATCCATGTTTGAAGCGCCAGCCCTGCAGACACAT